GAGAGAGAGAGAGAGAGAGAGAGAGAGAGAGAGACCGAGAAAAGAGTTTTGTTGCAAATCGATAGTTTATTTGAAGAATTATGAAGCATACCGGTTTTTTTATATTATAACTTTATTTAAAATTTTTATTTTATTAAAATATTTATTTTGTATTAATTAAATTAGTTTAATATTTTGTTATTTAATATTAAAACGTAATCACATCTTGTGGTCATTAAATCTTGTAATATTTAATCCTAAACTACTGCTTTGTTTGATAATTGCATAGATTTTACTTGAATTAGATCTATAATAAAATATTCTTTACATATTCTTATACAGAGTATCCAAAAAGTATCGGGACATCTGAGTATCATGGAAAATGTAAGTTTTACAGAAAAATGTTTCAGGCAAAAGTTGTAGGGTTTAAAAAAATCTATTTATTGATCTTATCAGTTTGACCTTGGGTGGCGTCGCTATAGACGAGATAAAATCACTTTAAATTTTTTAAATGGAATTCTCTATTTTTCACTGCATATTCTTGTAGCTTATCTCGAGAGCTTTCCAAAACACGTGGATAAACTGTTTTTTGGTTAAGTAAATCTTGAATTATGAAGCTTGAAAGTTACAGTATCACCGGCATTAGTATTATCCAAAATGTCTAAACATGGCTGAAATCTTTTGAATGTTGTTCAGAATTATGAGCTTAACAACATATGTCAAGGTCATGATCATTGGAGATTGTTTCTCTTATTTTCATTTTTGAAAATTATTTTTATTTTTTGAAAAAAGAGAAACATCCTTGTTCGGACACCTTAGATGCTAATGCCGGTGGTACTGTAATTTTCAAGCTTTATAACTTGAGACTTGAGAATTTGAGAAGTTTTACTTAACCAAAAAACATTTTATCTATGTGTTTTGGAAAGCTCTCGAGATAAGCTGCAGGAATATGCAATGAAAAATAGGAGTTCCATTAAAGAAATTTAAAGTGATCTTAATGATGCCACCCAAGGTCAAACTGATAAAATCAGTAAATAGATCTTTTTAAACTCTACAACTTTGGTCTGAAACATTTTTCTGTAAAACTTATATTTTCCATGATATTCAGGTGCCCCAGTACTTTTTGGATACTCTGTATGTATTCTATCACTCAAAAGTGTTTGACAAGTTATTTTTTATGACCAAAGTTGCAAATACGGCTTAGTTTAATTGTTCGCTATACTTGTATTATACATATGAGTACCATGTTTGTCATAGTACTGCAAAATTAACAGATATTGATAAGGACACTTTTTACTATGAAATTGCACTTAAAAGACTATTCAAAAACCTTTTGACCTTTTGACCTTTTGTAAGTTTTTCCCTTCAAGATTATGTTTAGAATTTAAAGTATAAGATATTCTGTATTACTTTTTGATATGGAATATAATAAAAACACAACATAAGGCAAATAAATTTTAAGGAAACTGTAAAACCATTTGTTGAAGAACAAATTTTGTCAATTAATAAGTGCCTAGAATCGTCTATATTGGACCCAAAGTTACTAACAATAAATTTTGGCAAAAATGACTAAAACAGCAAGATATATAGATAAAATAATCAATTGTTGACCCTCACAAAATTGCATAACAAATTATTGAAATTTTATGGCAGAATTATAAAGTGAATGTTCATTTTTCCATTGCATAGCGTCGATTAATCAATTAAGTCTTGCTAACAATAAGTCCAAGCAGCGTTATCCAAGCAGAAAACTATTATAATATAGTGTCAAAAATAGGAGAGCCAGAATTCTTTTTTCAAAGATTCATCGTAATTTGATAACCAAGGAGTAGTCTAAAGTATTATGAAGCGACAAAAGTACATAAATTCAATCTGATGTCCTCTAATAGCATAAAGTATGTTCATCGTTCTAAAAATGAGAGATTTAAAGTGCGCTGTCAAATATCTACTGTAAAACATGGCAGAAGACATATTATGAAGATGCTTTTTTAGTAAGGGTCTCTATAACGTATAGAAAGTTCTATGATTTGTTTTATTTATATTTTATAATAGATAAACCAAGGATTGAAAGTAACGTGTTACTTGTAATACCGTTACCGTTACACTTACTTTTTTTGATAACAGCGTTATTCTATTTTTTGATGACTGTACGGTAACGTAGTTACATTTTTTCGGTGACAGTAATGAATTATAGTTACTTTTATCGTTACTCTTCGTATTTTAAACTTTTTGTATTTATTACAATATTTTTGTATATTTAATTTTTAGTCTTTAGCTATATTCATATCCCGTGAGAACTGATCATCAATTAGAATCAATGTTGAATTGATGTCGAAATTATTGTACCAATGTCGATTCAACTGTCAATTCGATAAATCATTTCTCTCTATTTGTTCTTATTTTAAGACTGTTTCAAATAATACCTTAAGATGTTTATACAGCTCTGTAATTGGATTATGACATCTTAATGGTATAAATCAATCAATATCATAAATTAAATTGACAAATAATTTAATAAAAGATTAACGTTAATAAATATTTTAAAATACTGTAAAAATTTTTTTTGAAAAATATCAGCTGGATTCAAGCGTTATTGAGTTTCAAGATCAAAAATTTTTATTTGCGCGTAGTTTATAGAATTGGATTGTATGTATATAAATTC